TGTAACAAGAAAAAAAATGTTGCACTTTTCCTTTCCTTCAGTTAATGTTCGGCTGCAAAGGAGCCTTTCACCAGATCGGATTTCTGAAAGGACCCGTGACACAGTTATGTACAAACTTGGATAAGTTTTGTGCCCATGTTCTCTGTTACATAGCTGGAGGCAGCATAAAAAATCTGAACACGGTAAGTATATGCAAGAACACCTATTCAAAGTAAAACTAAAGTGATTTTGGAAGTTTCGCTTGTACATTCTCTCCTTACCCAGTTACTGTTGTGGATGTAAACATACATAAACCACAACATAGTTCTCAGCAGACTGAGGGAATGCCAGGACATTGTGTGCTGTCAACAGCAGCAGCATGACTAGAGGCAGTGATGGATGGGACCAAAAACTAGGCACATTCCTATTCCAGAAAGAAAGGACTGAATTCAGAGTACAGCTATATTGTAAATGTCAATAGATGTACTCTCTCTGGGGGCTAAGCCAAACAGAATTGGTCACACACAGATGTACTTTAAAAAGAGACAGTGAATGATGGAGTCAGATTTATTTTTGGCAATACAGTTGCCAGTTTCTTCCCTTGACATGTGGACACTGGGGTCCTCTGAACACTGGAATAGCTAAAAGTCAGGAAAAAGCCCCTTTTAAATTCCCACTTTTAAGACTACTTGCACCAAAACTTGGTCCCAAAGAACAACTGTAAGGGGTATTTTCCCATTTTGTTGACCTTAGAACTGGACCCAACAGCTCAATCTACAAGATGCAGAGCTACACAAAGTCCTTACGTTGTGCTGAGGAGTGCAGCACACCTACAGTGGGATTCACAAACACTAATGCATCAGTCAGAGGGGAAGGAGAGACAGAAGAGTTTTCTGTGTGCTTGCCAGCATATGGACATTGTGGTGTCAAGCCCCTTTACAGTGGCCAAAGTGCAGAAGCTGGCCTGTATAATGTTTATTACTGCAATAGCTGTAATGACGGGAGGCATTTTTTCCATCTATAACCACTTAAAAGCAGTTAGAATCAAAGGTTCAATGCAAAAGAAATTAAAGGCATCGCAGCCCTTTTGAATTGCAGAGCTAAACCATTAAGGATATTTCCTGATTTGTGTTAAGTCACTCATGTGGTCCTCAGGGCAAGGTAACATGGCTGAGGAAGAATCTGGGGAGATGGAACTGGAACATCTCCCTAATAGAACTACAAAAAATACAAACAGAAACAAAATGTATCAGTTTTGTAAGTTGGCTTCTTTAGGACTAGGAGTGAAGTGAAGAAAAAACCAAATCTTCATAAGACTTATAGATGCATGGGGGTCTGGTGTGAGATGGGAAGTCTCCTTTGAAAGAGTTGGAAGGTTTTTCCCTAATTTTGCTTGGCACAGGATCCCACAGCAGTACTGTCTTCGTGGAATGTACTGCTTTCCTGGAGAGGGCATGTAGATACATACTCTTAACCAGCTATTCTGAAGTCTGCTTCTCCGTTTTCTGTCTGATATTCAAAGAATATCCCATTAATATGAAGGTTTAATACAGCAGCAGTATGTTGCTCAGTTTCTTCGCATTTTTATTCTGTCACAACACTGGGTCTCTGTCTTTATAAAATTTCTGCTTTCTCCTCAGAGTCGAATAGACACATACGTAGGACATTCCCCAGCTGGAACATCAGTACAGAATATTATTCATTGGCAACAGGTATAACTGCGCACAGATGTATAAACAGTCTCTTCCTACTGCTTTTTATGCAACCAACAGCCTACAAGGAAATCCAGAGATTATGGATCTGGGAAACTGACCATCACACTTTCTCACCTGCTGCCATGAGCACCTGCACACTTAATGTAGTCTAGAATGTAGATTTGCTCTTGAAGACACCCTTGACAATGATTCCCAGCAGTCAGTCCCACAGGATACAACCAGCCAGGACATGGAGAAAAACCACTGACAGCTAGCGACTTTACAGTCTATTTTGCCAGCCTCTAACAAAGTCAGGTGGATAAAAGCAAACACATACAGCAAGATCAAATAGCAGAGACAATACAGCAAGGAGATTTCTAGCACACACCCAGCTACTTAAATCCTTGAAGCAAAGGTTTTCTAAATTGAGAGGCCCTGGCTTTCTTTCAACCTCCATTACATACAACTACTCACAAATGAAATTACTTGTCATGTTCATGCAAAAAATAAAATCACCAAAGCAAACAAAAAATTCCAGGTATATGTACTTAACTCTTCACTGATCAGTCCTGCAAGGTATATTACACTAGACTAGTAATAGCCCTGACACGTTATAGACATTCAGGTTCTCTTTCCATGGGACAACTGAACCCAACTCTGTATTATGAACAGAAACCCCAACCTTAGTTACCCAAGGTAGTAAAGCAAAATTTTAAGTAACAAAACATACCAAGGGTGGAAGATAAGGATCATGATAAAAAATTAGCAAGAGAAAAGGCAATGAAGCCACTTATCCTATGATCTACCCTCAATATCCAGGAAGCCTGCAACCAGAGAAAGGTGGGGAAGTAACTCACAGTCCACTACCTGAGCCTTGGCTTAAATCGTAGGCACTCTGCTTCTTGGTCTCCTGTCACTTTCATCTTATCTGTTCTTTTAACAGCTAGCACATACAGACCAATTTCAAGCTTACAACTATGGCTCTAAGGAAAACATGAAGAAATACAACCAGGTAAGGCAATATGTTTTCCTTGAGAACTCATTCTTGGGTCCTGGTAAAACTAAGAATAGAAAAATTCAAATTTTAGCACATGTGAATGCTACCAAGGGAAAGAGGGGTCTCAGGCAATGTTTCAACTGAATCACACACAAAAGTATAAAAGTCTATTCACAGACATTGCATGGACGATCCTTGCAAACAGCTAACAGAAGTTCCTTTTGCCTCCCCTACTGATGCAGGGATGTGTCCAATGACATGCTAACTTAAATGTCATTCTCAAAAGGCAAAGAGCCAGACCCAAGTCCTGGGACTGGATGGGTACAGTGCTCTTCAATTCTCCCAAAATCTTCAGGATCTGCTTTTCAATTAAGGGAGGAAATGAATTTCACAGCTACAGCGATCTCTCCAATGGACTGACAATCATTTCACTTTTAATCAGAACATTTGACTTGCAGTGTCCTGTGCTGTCTGCTAACCACAGACAGAAAGACTCCAGAGATATAATCAGTCCATTTCTATCTCGCCTACTGTCTCAGAAATTTTCTAGAGTGAAATTATAAATGGCCAAATTATTTTCTTGTCACTTAAGTTCCAAGCATGAAAACTAAAATGAACAGTTGCACTCCATGGCTCAACTAAACTTATAGATCTTCACACCCTGAATATCAGGAAAGAGAAAGAGAGATGTTTGCACAGAATCCTTCCCTAAACATAACTTTGATCCAACAGCATTTACTCAGGCTTCTTCCCTTCTTACAGACTGCTCCTCCTGTGTACAAGATAGAGGAGATAACCATACCAATTGCTGTTTGGAGTGGAGGAGAGGACACATTTGCAGATCCAAAAGACACGGCAAGACTACTTCCTCAGATTAGTAATCTCATTTACCATGAGCAGTTTCCTACATGGGGACATCTTGATTTCATCTGGGGCCTTGATGCAACTGAGAAAATGTATATGAAAATCATTGAACTAATAAAACAATACTTTTGAAATTAATGAAAGCTGAAAACATGAATGTATTCGAGCATGTACTACAGGGATCACTTAATTTGAACAGCTTTTATTTCTATGAGACTGATCTGCCTAAGCCTACATTCTGTTGTTCTCTTGTATATCTTATGTACTCCATCAAGGCATTCCCATGCCCAATTTGTGTCTTCCTATGGAGACCTAAAAGTGTGATTTGATCATTTCTCTGTTGAAATGAGCACCTTTATTTACATTAAATTATTTATCCCCTTGACAGAGGACTTGGCTTTTTTTTTTTTCCCTCCTCATAGAGATCTTCAAACACAAGAAACTGAGCAGACAATAGATGACTACCAAATATCAAGGAATCCAGCCTCAGAAAAACTCATAGAAGTATTCTGCTGCCCTCCATGCCTACAAAGCACCCAAATGTCTGTTCACACACTCTAAACCCCTCAATTTTGAAGACCATGGATGGCAGCTGAGGAATAATGAAATGCAGACCCATCTGGCAAGGTGCACTGCAAGCAATACAGGTTCCACTGCATGAATTATTCTTGAAACTGGCAGTGAAGCTGTTTCAAGCATTCTGAGATATCAGCTTTGATTTTTAGACAGCTCTGTGTCTTGTCCATTCTTCCTTTAAGCAGATTCTAAAACATGGGAAAGCAGTCAGTAGTTTTTCTTTTCCAGCCATTAGCCCTAAGAGATGGCATCTTCATTATCCATGGAAGTGCCTCACATCTACTCACGTAGGTCTGGCAGGTAAGACCACCTGTCCCCAGGTTACACATAAAGTGTTCATGATTACAGGCCCAAACAGGGAGCTTGGTTTCGTAGGGTGTTTCTGGCTGCAGACTCAAACTCAAACTGCCCAACCAAGACCCTTTGCAGTTGGAGTTGGCATCCAATAGAATAGTTACACTGAAAAATGTCTGTCTTCTTCAACACAAGAAAAATACACTACCTTGTCCCTGCACCTAGTGTAGCACCCATTAGCAATGTTAATCATGGCATCTATCTACTGCACGTCTGACAGCTTATGGGAAAAGGCCAAAATTGCCAACAAAAACAAAGATCCATTAGATCAAGAAGGCAAAATACAGCAGCCTTCCAAAGGAGATTCCCTTTTATTGCTGCATTATTAAATCACAAAGCAGCGGGACACATTGCTTACAAATGCAGGGTTTCCTCTGCTTTTACCTATGCAAGATAAGATTCATGGATATATTATTATTATTATTGGTATTATCCCCTGCTGCATTCACCAATCTGAAAAGCATACTATCCTGTCCAGTCCCATGGGAAGGATACGTCTGGTTCTCGTCAACAGCATTTCATTTATTGATTTTTTTTTTAGTACACTGTTTATATTGGAAAGGTAGTCAAGAGACCTGTTTCTCTATGATGCCAAACATATTTTCATTATTATTTCTTAATGCATTAAAGTGATCTGGGAATTTGCTTTCTTTATGGACTCCAGCAAGCCATTGAATCTCTTTTTGCTGTGTCTTATATGAAAAAAAAAAAAAAAGGGAGAAGATAATCCTACCCTTGTAGCAACATAGTGAGAATAAAGGTGTGTGAAACTTGTAGGAAGGATGGAAGGGAAAAGTGCTCAACTGAGACACCTATTTTCCCAGTCACTCCCATTGTGGGAAGAGAAATACTAAGAGGAAGGGTACCAGACTTTGTACAACTGCTGTAGCATATTGTTTAATTCCCCTATAGAACAAGTAATGTGCACTCTAAAGGATATTTTATTTTTGCATTGGCTGCCAACCATACGCAATATTTAGGCTTCCAGATATTTTATAGCTAGCTTTCAAAAACCACAGACTGCAGAAGTCAAGTAATAAGACTGATGAAGCAGATGGGAAGGGCGATATTTTGACCACTATTGCAATCATTCATGGCTCAGTAAAATCAAATTAACTCCTTTCACCCCACACATGGCCTTGGGGGTACTGACAAGTCTCACACAAAGTTGTCAAAGTCTACAGCAAGGAATGGGTGGATGTGGACCAAGTTTTTATCAAGTAACAGCCTTCACCCTCTGTTGGACGTTTGCTGTTATGCAAGATGCATTGTTAGATGAGGTAATTTTCTGCATGTTTGAGAGTCCTTGATGACTAGGAAGCTTTTCTTAGCATGCTTTCAATGTTGTGGAACTGCAGTCTTCTTGCTATATCTAAGGGAGTCTCCCCATCCTGAAAGAAACAGATGAAATACATTGCAATATCATAGATATCGATCAAGTACAAGGAGCTTTCCTGAACTTGTCACCCAGATGCAGTGGTCTCCTGTGTAAGTTCCCCTGTCACATCCATGCTCTAAAACAAAGGTTTCAGAACATGCTGGACCTAATACTACTTTGAAGACAGACAGCCATTCCACTGTTTCCTGAGACTAATATCCAAAAGTCAATTTTGGATATTAGCACAGCCTTAAATCTTAGCACAGCTAAGATTTGGATTCAAGAGCAACATGGGTAATACATTGCTCACCTCAACTCAGTAATGCAGATACTCCCAGGTCAATATTGATTTGGGCAACATTTGAGCTATTCTGGTGACAGGAGCAGCTTGACTTAGCCTCTCTCAGAATAATGGTGTACAACAGCATGAAAAGCACCTAAGAAGGCTCTTACCACTCCCCTGTAGCCTGCTTCTTAGGAACAGAATGGTAGAGCAGCTCTGAGTTAAGAAGAGGTACTGTAAAGACAGATGAGATATGCCAAACCAGGGGACATAAGGGCAGTGTTTACTGGTAGAAATCCAGCAGTGAAGGATTTGTACTTCAAAGTTGCTCTTGCCAACAAAAGCAGTGGAGTAAATGTTTTATACCAAACAGGAAACAACTCCACTGCCAGGAAGCTGAGCACCCTTTTCTTTAAATTGCTGCACACCAGCTAAGACTTATAGCATACTGATTCACCCTCATGATAAGGAAATACAGTTATCAATTTCACCTTCTTACCTGATTCTTTACAGAAGTGTCTGCATGAGCTTCAAGCAGTAGAGGAATGACTTCCTGATTTTTCATTTCACAAGCATAGTGAAGGGCTGTGCTACTAGACTGAAGGGAGACAGAAGCAGATGAATTTTAGTTCTATGAATTCTTTAGTAGACCTTAAGCAAGTACCTGTAGCCTTATCAGTTTCCCTCAACAGCTGGATGCAAAACACACATATCAGTTTCTATCACAACACACTACACAGTAAAACAAATACATTATCATTCCAGCAACAGGAACACAAAAAAAAAAAAAACAACCATTCCCTCCATGGAAAGCAGCTGCTAAAACAGGTTTGATACCTTCAGCAGGAAGCCAGTAGTTCTTTACTAATTTCAGAGGATTCCAGAATATTGATCCCAACAATACTGTTTGCTTGCACTTCAGTGTTTTAGAATTTGGTTGCTGATAAAATTGGGCATTCTTTTCTGTCTTAGAGTAGAGGAGGTCTTTATCACACCCAAGTAGGCTAGTGGATACAGGACTCTGTCTATGGCAGATCAGCACACTCTGATAACCAAGAGTAGACACAGGGTCTAGCCCTGTGGCATGATCTTTGCCCAAAAATATGCTCCAGTCCAAGAACTCATAAATGCTGATAAACTGAGACCCTTATATCAGTAGAATCTTTATAGGATCAGGTATTTCATACATAAGTATCTCAGGTCAGCTTACCTGGATTCTTGTACGTGGGCATTGTTCAAAAAAAATAATTAGTTGATCAGTGGGGATTATTTCTGTGTACATTAGTATATTGAAAAACTGCTGCCTAAATGTCAAGGGGAAACACTGAATTCTCCTGGAACATCACAGTCAGTTCAGTCCCTGATCCCATTCTATAGCAGAACTATGTTGCTAGAAGATTCTGAAGTCTGATTTTAGAATTGTTGCATGCATGCAAACCACATTTACATTTTTATAAATCCACTTACAGAGTCTGTAGCATTCACATCAGCTCCAGCTCTGAGCAACATCTTGATCAGGTTTTCATTCTGTTTCGTCTTCGAGACCTGTTTGGTGCAAGAGAAAGAGTAACACAGTAAGACAGTTCATCTATATATAGTGCTAAGTAAATTTGAGATAAATACTGTGGTTTTTTTCCAAAAAGAAGAGTGTCTTCTGCAAATACCAGGCTGATGCAGTGCTACAATTCTGCTCCTACACCAGCTATATTCACAGCAAAATTCCTGTTTCTTCTGTTGTATTCATCTAGTCCTTGCTTTAAAAAAGCAGTCCTGTGTACTATACAGGTTCCTAGCCTGAAAAACTGCCACGAAAAATGTCATAAAGGGAAAGGGAAAGATATAGTGTTTTTCCTGCTTTCATCCAGACTCACCATGAGAAGATATCCAATAAGCATAACTGGCATGAGGATTATGATGAGCACATAGTCAAGGAAGGTAAACCGTTTTCTCACAGCATAATGCAGGCAAGTGCGGTCCTTCTAAACACAAAATAACTCTGATTAGCACCAGATTCAGTGATCTGACTTTATTTGTTTAATATTGACACATTTTAGATTTCACAAGCTTTCTTTTAGACTACCTACTGGAAATATTCCTCTGATTTTCAAGCAGAAACAGACACATTTTGCATTTTGCTTCCTTCAAGTAGAAGCATATTTAACACATATAGGGGCATTGAAATTGGACTACACGTGCAAGGAGGATGTGGGATCCAAAGGATTCCATGGGTATGTCTGCACACTTGGACATGGCTGCAGAGACTGAAAGGACAGAGTGGACATCTCGTGGGTACTATCACCACCCATCAAGTTAAATTAGCAGGAAGAATCCCCATAACTCCTCTTCTTATGGAGGTGCTGGTTACTGAAGCAAGGACATATGAGACTTTAGGACATCTCCTTTGGGACATCTGAGAAACACAGGCAAGTAGCAATAACCACCACAAATTCCTAGTGAGAACAGGGTTTAAAGAAACTTTGAATGCTGAATGTACCAAAGCAACTAACGGGCAGGGCTACAAAGTTTCATGCTAAAGTGTTAAGCTTCTTGCAGATTGTCAAACTGGAATTTGACAAACTAGGTTATGGTGTTACACAGGGGTCCAAAGTAAGCAGACAAGCCCTTCTGTGCCACCTGCTGTTCCTCATTCTCAGTCTTGAGCATCACAGTCAAGCTCTGTGCCTGAAGGCCTTATTCCATCTATGAAGGTGAAGCAGGGAGGCATTTAAGAACGCCAGGCATGGCTAGCAAATGGCTACCAATGAAATTTAAACTATCTTAATGCAAAACACTGAACCCTTTCAAAGGGACTTTGAAGTAAGATGGACAGCTTTCTGCATTAAGAAGAATAGGTAGGATAGAATATTCCACTGGCCTCATGAACATTTCCTGCCCTTCTATGAAAGGAAAAAAGCACTGGAAAGCAGATATGTGAGATAGCCCACAAATGTGCAGGAACTCGATGAACATTGCCTTGTATGAGATGATAAAATACAACTGACAATGCTGTGGGGTTTTTCCTGGCTATTTAGCACCCTTGACATCATAAGAATATATTACTAATGAAGCCAGAACACGCATCTTTCAGCCACTTTTTATTTGTAACCTACCAGAAAATTTATCACAAAAACACACTTTCTCATCACATTAGGCATGGTACTTAGTTGTTGGCTGGTGTTAAACAACAACAGCAAGGAAGGTCGGTTTTCTGAATTAGAGAACAGGGCAGGAAGACAGAGAAGGCTTCTCTCCTTGCCCCCTAGGATGCTACTGCTCTGTACTATGACAAGCTGCAGGTCTGGTGAGGAAATAAGGAAGGTTTTTATAGAGTCGGTCTCTCTTTGAGGACATATTTGTGAAAGGTCAACAGGCTCTTGTTCACTTTCCTTTTAACCAGGGTGAAGAAAAAAGCAGAGGAAAAAAGACTACAGAGGAGACAGACACAAGGTGGAGGGCAAAATGAATGTGGAGTGCTGCATGGGTAAGCTAGAATCCACTGGGGACCAGGGATGGCATGCAGTGTTACCTAAATGGGGAACAAGAACACAGAGAAAAATTCAGGTTTGCAATGTTTATTATCTTGTGTGCACTAACAAGTTAAGAAAAGAAATGAGGAGACAAACAGAAACATATAGGTTTATTGGATTATAATTTGGGGGTTATAGTTAAGCCTCAGTAGGAAACAAACATCAGGTTTGGCTGTGCTTGCCAGTGTGCCCACTGGCACTCCAAGAATCTGAAAGAACAGTTGTTGCAAAGGAGTCAGTGTCCACTTACCTTATTTCTGAGGTTTACATCAGCATGTCTTCTTAGAAGATAGCTAACTATCCTGTTGTTTCCCTTTTTACATGCACAAATTAAGGGGGTGTCTCCACTGAAACTGTCCTGGATATTCAGATAGTTGCAGTTGCTCTCCAAAAGGAACTGAACTTTATTGAAATCGTTGTTATAGGCTGCCTGACAAATGGGCTGAAGGGAGAAGACAATATTAATCAGTATATGTTTCATTAAGACATCCATACTTCCCATTCTGATTTACTACTTGCACATCCCAAAATAATTGACAGAGCTTGTAGTTCTTGGTGACTTCCAGAAGATGGTGGTAGGAGACACTCCTGCAGCTGCCACACAGCAGCTCTCAGCCCTCAGCCCTCAGCCCCAGAAGTCACAGCCTTTGCACAGTGGAATGAGTTTTCTGTTAATTTTGGATGTTATTTATATAATTCAAGAAATAAATACGGCTTATTTGCAGCCTTTAAAAAAAACGGCTTCCAATCTCATAGGAGCTGGTCACTGTATTAAGCAGCAAGCAAAGACAAGCCCAAGTTCTCTCTGAGTTTACAACAGGCTTTCCCTTTGTCTGAGCACTTCTGAACAGAAGGTACCATTCCTGACTCATTAGTTCTCAGAACAGAACCACACTTCTAGTAAAAGTTGAGAAAACAACCCCCCCAATGTTTTTTTTCAAGCTTGAAGCTAAACTTTTTACCTAAAAAATATATGTCTGTATGCCCACAACTCAGACTCTGATTGGCTTTGGAGAATTGCTTGCTGCTCAGCTTTTGCTTAGTATTTCTACACATCCTTCACCTAAATTGCAATTCCTTCCCTCTCCAGCAGCACGAATTCAGACTAAGGAGAGGCTGAGAATGGCAAGAGTAATACAAGTTTCTAACAGCCTAATACAGGCAGAAAGTAGCAGTGACAGATAGGGCAGACTGGTGGCATTTGAGTTCTCCAGTCAAAAAGAGAACAATTTTCTTTTTTTCTGTCTTTGATACTGAGGATTTTATTCAACATTTTACAAAATAGTAATTTTCTTTAAATACTGTCTGCAGTTTTTCCTTTCCATTCTCCTTTTTTCACATCCTAAATATACTACATAAAAAAAAAATCTGGCCCTGAACTCCAAGCTGTTTCCTCACTCTGCCTGCAGTTATTTCCCTCCTCTCATACTCTCCCCCCATATTAAAATTATTCTTATTTATACTTTCACTTCAGTAAACTTTGATCTACAACACAAGTTTACCTCCAGCATCATTACTGCTTCTGGACAGCTGCATAAGAAAGTGATTTGTTTCCTAAGAAAATATTTACATGTTTACAGACCTTGCACCACTTCTTGTTTTGTTTTTATTATTTCAGATAAATATCAACAGCAAACACCTGCAATATTGTAAATTTGCACATCTGACTGTATTCTTATAAAAGCCTACATATACCATTTGCTATTTTGCACTCCACCAGAATCAGAACTGTTTTAATGGTTTGGAGGAGAAAACCCTCCTTTAAACCCTTTTTGGTGTGACCAGCACGTAGGTGCCATCTAAATGATCAGTTTTCTCTGTCACGTCAGTGTCTAGTACTGTATCTTCAGGTCCAGGAAAGAGAAGGTAAGTGGAGTCTGTCTGCACCTCTGATTTCCCTTCTATTCTTGCTTTTAGGTATTGCTTTGCTTATTTAAAGATGCAGAAGATTTGCTGTTTGGTTGAACACCTGATCAAATTGCAGTCATTTACCATATAGTTTTATTCTTTCCTAGAATGATACTTGCTAGTTCAGCAGCTCATGTCAGCAAATGATATGCTTTTTTGCTTTTCTTTCTTTACTTGCTAGGCCATTAAACCCCAGGCATTTCTGACTGATACTCTCACTGACCCGTGGGATCTTTTTCTAAACCTTACACTACTGTTGAACTCAGTTCTAGAGCCATGAATAATGATGGAGCACATACCACTCCCTAGGAGACCACATTATTTAGGACTGAAGTCATGCAAAGAGACCAGCACATATGACTCATGCATGCTATTTTACCTACCGAAACCAGCTATTCTCAGAAAACATCCAGGGCACAGAGAATGTAAGGAAGCAATTCTCATCCATTCCTACAGTTAATACATGGGTAATTGATGTACTTGAAGTATTTTTTTACTTATTGTTATTCCACTGCAGTGGTGGTTCTTTGTAGAAATTATTCTCTCCTGCATTAATATGTTCTGTTCATGCTTAAAGAAAAAAAAGTCAAACTTTTTTCCTGGTTTTGTGGGATTTTTTTGAGGCCCACTCTGCTAGTTTATATTCTAGAAAATGCCTCTTTTAGTCAAAAAAAGGTGAAAGGTCCCATGGATCACTTGTAGTATACCTCCCAAACTGGCAAACACAACTCCATGACTGGAAGGACAAACCTAGGAGCAGAACATTTAAGTAAGGGAACAAAGTAATACAGACAACTATAAATTCATTATATTGATATCAATAACAATAGAGATTCAGAAAATGTGTTAGGAAAGAACACAAGTCCGTGTTATTGTAATAAACTTGTAATAAATTCCAAATAAGTGGCAATCAGTCACCTGCCCAAGAAAAGCAACAGCAACCAGTGACAAATGCTGTATTAGAGAGTCTCTCTCACAGGAAGATAAGAGAGTTGTTATAGAAGGCACTTAACTGGGATAGTGAATACAGTTCTTGTCACTTGTGTCCAAAAATGAGATCAGACTATAGCAGGACCATCTCTACAACTGAGGAATATGAAGAGCCTGAAGAAAGATTGATTTGCTTAGCTGAGCCGGGTACAGACAAGGTTGTAGGTGTTCCAAAGTAAATTAAAGGGTAAGTGTTAATTGGTTTCAAGGAACAAGGTAGAAAAGGTGATATATCTGGCCAAGAAATTTAGTATGAAAATTATAAAGAGATTTCTACTAATCTGCAGAGTAAAATAACAAAACAGGCTTTCAGTAGCAGGAGAATGGACACAGAACCTGACTGGCTCCAGGCTGGAGCTTGAGCACGTGCCAGGATTTCTGTGTTTGTGAAGTCTCTGCCACAAATCACTCTTCCATCTCTCACTTTTTTGTTGTTGCCACTCTGGTGGTCCTATCTAAAGGAGAACTAACTGTGCTTAAGACTGTTTTAAAAAATTTTCCAAACTTTGCTTACAAGACTAATAGAGTTTCTTACAAATAGACAGTTAGAGGGCACTTATCTGGAAGATGAGTAGAGAGGCAAATGATGGAGTTAGAACAATGTTAGGTACAAGCAGTAGATTCCATCCAAAACCCAAGAAAAAATATTTTCTTTAAGTCTACAGAAAAGCCTGGAGGATAACTGAGTGAGATAAAAACCTCACTCAGTTGTCTGCAGTGTTAGAAGGCTGCCTCAGCAGTGATACAGCTTAACAACCAGCTTCGGATTTTCATGTTATTGTTATCCACCCATCATACACAAGGGAGGAATAAACTTATGGAATACGTACTCAGAATAACTGGGCTTTACATGCAAGGTGGAAGCCATATTCAAGGAATCCACAGTTCACACCTCAGACTTGGGCTCAGGTGTGGAGTAGAGCAGGAGTACAAGAGCAGAAATCTGATGGCAGTGGAGGACAGCCAGGAGCCCCTGCAGCTTCCCTTCTTAGAGATGCACTGGCAACCGGAGCACAGATACACTGTCTATGACATCTCCTTTAGGTATGTGTGAGAAACAAGGGCCAGTGTTCCCACAACAAAAAACTCTGAAGAAAGCATCAGTGGGAACTGAGTTCACAACTTCTGGAGAGGTTTGCAGTCCAAGATAGAGAGTGGCTACTCTTGCCAACACCACATTATTTATAAATCCCTATGTCCTGACTGCCCCAGAGAACTCACAAAAGACCTGGCCCACCTCCATAACACAGCAGGGTAGACCTGGCACAGGCACAACAAACATTGCACCCAATAAAAACATGAGCTCAGGTGTGAAGGGAGGGGGAGCAGGCCCAAGATTTCCAGTTTAGGCAAAGAGGAAGAGAGCACCTCTTTGAAGTGTCTGGCAGCAAAGCCCTTCTCCTCTGCTCCTAATCACACATCTGCAGCACCACTCAACATTCAGACAAGATACAAAAGATGAGCCTGACAGCACAATGCTGCACAAAACACGTGATGGAAGGGAGGGAAAACAGAGAATCCCAACAGCAAACTCCTTCCACTCTGACCAGTTGTGCCTTTTCCCTGCCATACCATCAGGGCTAACCATGAACTAGAGCACAGTCTGCCCAACTGAAAAAAGCAAAGAACAGACACTGGAGAGTGGAGTTTGAAGATTATATATGCCAATGATTGAGTGCTTAAAATCTCTCTTTCTACAATACTTCTTCTGCAAGCCCTTCGGACCAGGATTTAATTGTTCAGTGTCTACTTACGGCTTCAGGAAAGGTGAGAAGTACTCATAGGAGAGACAAGAGTTTTCATGGCCGAGATCACTCAATACAAGATAACCAGATAAGGAGTGCAAGAATAGCAAAAAAACTTTCACTGTCAGGAAATTCAATTGCAGAACAGATTCTTTGATTTTTATTTTTAATTTTTATTTTTAATTAATTGTGGGACATGTGATTGGTAGTTTACTCATATCCAGATGAACAGCCACATCTGAATTTGTCTACTTGTTTTCAGGATTTCTTGCATCTCTCTCTGCTTAGTTTTGCTGAGCTAGTGATAAATCTCAAGCTATTTAGCAAGTTCTACCACACGTGAAATAAAGGATAAAGGCACAGTATGAAGGACAAAGCATTCAGCCAGTAGAGAGGAGGTGAAGGTAAAGCCTGTCTTGCAACTAGGAGAGCAATTTTGGTTTATAATTGCTTCCTCCTTTGAGAACGGTCAGGGATTGCCTAAATTACATCAACACTTTGCAGTTGTTTAGACAAAAAGGAGATACATTGCAATGTCAAAATATTCTGAACCAATCCACAGCCTCTTCCTGTGTATTAAATTAATTCAAAGGCACAGTATGAACTAAACAGGGAAGTCTAAATCATGTTTAGGATGCTGAGAAATGCCCTAATATCTAATGCATACTTCTCAGAAAAGGCAACTTACACTGTCTTATTTTTATTTCTCTAAATTTCTGTCCTGTAGAAATGAACCATATTTTACCTAGAAAACTGTACCTCAACATTTTTAAAGGAAGAAAGCTAATGTATATGAGAATATTGACTAATAAGCATGGAAAATATGGACAGTATTTGAACATTCTTAAAACACCCATTTAATTAAGCTAGATGATACTGGTTTCCCATGCAATACTATCTCAGAAGAGTAGACCTGGAGAGAGGCAAAAAATCGTTTCAGAATAAGCTACAGTCTATTCACCAATCACCTTATGAATGCACAGATTCAAGGTCCTCGTAATACTGAAAGAGGAGAAGATACTTGGTTTCATTGAATAGCTTTTTAAAAATAAAAGAGTGTCTTTCAGCAAAGAAATGTAACCTTTTAAAGGAACAACTATGTGATGCTATCTCCAGAAAAAGAAATAGCAGTGCAACACACTCTATTCATAGTCAAAAAGGATCAAAATCCTTATTTGTTCCCATGTGTACAAATGGAAAGTTTATAAAACAATATGTTTAGGTAGCATTTATGCTAAAGTCTAGGAAAATACTAAATGAAGCACGGCCTGTGGACAAAACCATAAAGATAAGTTCAAAGAAAAAAGAAATTCCTTCCTAAAACAAGTTTGCAGGGAGGGGAATGTTTTCTTAGGCATTAGCTTTATTATCTATATTCAATGTAAGCCAAGGGGTTGTCTGATTTTGCAAAGTTGTCTGTTGCTTGCACCACATTCAGAATCATTCTGATCTCAACACAGAACAACAAAAAATGTTGAACACATACTTTGTGAAATCACAATAATTACACTGGTTATTGCATTTTCTTTGCTCCTTCTGACAACTCGCAACGGGCAAAGAAAAACATTTCCAAAGGGAAAAATGTTCCAGATCTGTATAAGCCTCTGTATGGGGGGCTGCGAAGGGAACAAACCAAACCCAGTGAATATCCACACCTTCAACAGCTTCAGTTTCTGTGCAAAAAACAGTCACGTACCTCTGAGTAGAGTATCCCCATGCCTGTTCTTCACTGCTTGAGTTCGTTCTTGTTCAGCTGCCCAACAAGTTAACCACACTTGAAATACTCTTGAGTTTGTTTGAATCTGGTTAATATTTAACTTAAAAGTATCACACTTTCTTATGCTACATTTCCTTTCAGTGCTTTCTACTTGGTGGAATAAAACAATTGTCTTCAGAAACCCAACCCAGGGAGGTAAACGTGAGAACAGCAGCTTGCAGAAGACTGACAGAACAAGTTACAACACAGAAGCATTTTCCTTTGTCATTTTTGCAATAACATCCTTCAGTTGCCTAAAAAGGAAAGTAGCAAAACAGGTCGAGGAGAGGAGGAGGGAGAGAGAGGAAGAAAGTTTCACAAGTGAAGAAATGGAGAATAGAATAAAAAGCATGAAATCTAAAACTTAAAATAAGTAACTACGAATGGTAGCTAGTGTGCCACACAAGCTATTTCTGACTAAAACATATTCCAAACGCTCTGCAAGAATATCTCAAGACTCCTTTCAGGAAAAGGGAAGCAACTAAATCCCACGCCTTTAATGAGACCTTCCAGTATAATTATCCTCAGTCTCTAATTAAACAGGCCATCTGCTTTCATCACCTTTTGCTCAGTCTTCTCTTCCTAGCCCAGCCCAAACAATGAATATGATTCATGTTTAACCTGATAATTTTATATGTTAATTCAGAAGAGAATTATTGTTGATGGCTCTGATGATAAGATGCTGTACTACACTCAGGCTTTCTGAGTAGGGCATGTGTATTTCAAGTGTCTGCAGTCACCTCAAAATATCTTTTCCCTTTATATTTTAAATTCATGTTTCCTGTATTCCAAGCAAATTTTAAAACAAGTTTTAAAACATATGCATGTAAGTATGCATCTTAAATCCAAGCCCTTCACCTTACATTTGAGAACTTTAATTTCCATATAACTTTCATAATTATTCTCCAATGAGGTGGAGGACCATATAAAATTACTTATACTATCTCTATCCTTCTCTAATTAAAGTACTAGTATAGCACCACAGCTGTAATGTTTGTTTGCTGACACCAGTTTTAATGGCTGTTTATCTGAAGAAAATTACATTGACATGTAACAGAAACAGACATCTACCTGTGACAAACTCACTAGGATCCTCACAATAGATTGCTCTTTCAGCACGTGGTGAAAATTCTGTAGGACTAACAACATGGAGGAGTGAGTAACACCTCAAAGGTGAAAAGGTATTCCTCACCAGTACTTCTTCACATCCAGCTCCTAAGGAATTCACATCTTCCTGCATCAGCTGTTGAAATTGTTGAAATTTCTCAACTACAACTTGTTGAAATGCTCGTCAAATCACTATGAAGTTACATATAACAATTTAGTAATTTAATTAATCCTTTCCTAACACAAATAAATAAATGTACAGTAATCTGAAAAACTATTTTAAAAAACAACAAACAAACAAACAAAAAGCCCATCCTCTACAAATCAGAGTAATAGCTTCAGGCAACATTTCTCCCAAGAGAGTGTAAATTACTATTTAATCCAGCATCACATCTCATGTCCTCTTGAAAAGCACTTTAGTCAGAGCTTCAGTTGCAGAACAGATAAGCAGCTCAACCATGATGAGGTATGAGACTCAAGCAAAGCTATATAGTCACAGGTTCACTTCTGTTTCACATATGCATTAGTGTTCTTTGCCATGCTTATAATTAGATTAGAATCCTGAAAATGTTGATTGTTGTTGTTGTTGTTGTTGTTGTTGTTGTTGTTGTTGTTGTTGTTGTTGTTGTTGTTGTTGTTGTTGTTGAATATGTCTTTTTTGTCCAAAAGCTGCCAAGATTCAGTACATGGGCAGACTGTCACCTACTCAGCATGTAGGAAACATGATTCTTACTTCCTGACAGACTTTAACAACACTACAAAAGTTTCAGATGAGCCAAAAGGGAACTAAGAGTTTGTCAGAAGGGCCTTTGTCAGGGAAATAATACAAGAAACTAATTTTTTAAGCTAGATATCAATTAAACTTCAGAACAGCACATTCATTAAAAGACACAGAAGATATTTGTCTCTTTGAATTCCAAGCGCTAGAGACTCAAGGGATATGATACATTTAATAAAAAATAAAAATAATTGAGAAGTCCCTCCCTCATGAAGAAGTTCAGAGAAAACAAACATTTTGCCTATTCTTTCCACACTTTTCAAATCTTAAAGATTTTTGCCAAGACTGGTTTTATGACCTGTTTCGTCCATGCTGATTACAAAGGTGGCTACAGCCAAAAAGCAGGAGTTTAAATGGATAGAGAGCACTCTACGAATTCTATTCAGACAAGTTTCACTGTGATCACTAGACAATCCTTAAAATTTCACAAAAATTCAGCCTTTTGTCCAGGAAAGACAGATTTACAACAGGGAAGACCATATGTGAGAGAGAAAGGAAGGTACTCAGCACAAACTAGCATTGATGTCATACAAACACATGCCCCTAGGTTGGTTCCTTATCATCCTGGAGCCTTTGACTCATTCCTGACCCATATTAAACAGGGTGAGCTGTAGACAGTCCTTCCTCACACAGGTACTTATTCTGACAGCACCATTGGGAACAGGCCTTGAGCAACCTTACAGAGACTCCCTCATTTGGGTCTTCCTGTGAAATTCCACACCACTCCCTTCTTAAGACAAACACCCTTGCATTTTCTCTTTCACACAGCCCCGAGATGTGGTGCCTCCTCTTTCTGCTCTGCTCCCAGGGAATTGTCTTTTCAGTGGGAATCACAGCATCCTCCACTCTGAGTGTAGACACAAGCTCATGCAAGAAAACTCGCAACCCTGAATGCTTTATGAATGTTGTAAGTTGGGTCACCTTCTCTCCCTTTCTTTCTAAAGCTTCTCTCCCAGTACCATTAACACTAGCAGTTCCTGTCACAAGGCTAAAAGTATGTTCGCTTCAAAAGGGTCCCTCCAGAATTGTGAGCACCTGCCCAGAAAAAACTTTGATGCTCCTCTCCAAACAGTCTGAGCCAGAGAGAAGAATTCCTTTAGAGTGGAAGCAAAGGCTGGTTTCTAGTCTCAAGTGAAGCAAAGGTCTACCCTTCTATAACAACCTGTTTGCTCAGTACAGTGGTAAGGCAGCTTGAAACCCTTCTCCAAACAGCAGACTCTCACAACAAAAACCTCAAGACCCCTTGCTCTGGATCACCAAAGATTTCCTCACTGTGACAAGTGTAACACGTGGTGCTGTGAGTGAGTCTGTAACAGGAGATCCATCCTACATGGCTTGCCTAACCACACTTTGGCAAGAAAAGATTCAGTATGGACCGGATAGAGATACTGATACATGGTTACTCTCTAGAAAGATACAACCTATATCATCCTTGTAAAACATGACAAAATATCTCCCAAAAGGTTAGTCAGTTCTTTTTTGTCCCATAATAGGAGGTCAAACACCAGACAACTACCATCTAAGCAAATCTGAAGAAGACTTTGCTGCATTCTGCTACTCTTGTAAGTCTGTGTAGTGCTTGAGTACCAATGCTACAGCAATTATTACAATTTGAATCATACAGCACAACGTAGTGTACAGAAACTACACCACAGAAACACATCCCAACTACTCTCACTGCCGTTTGCATCCTCCAGCCTCCGTGGCTAAGGCATGGCATATATTGGATCATCCACGAAAGAGAGAGATGTGGTTTGTTTTTTTTTTCCCTGCAGGAATCCCTTTTGGTGTACCTTTCTACCAGTATAACACACAGCACTAGAGAAAAGCTAGCAATATGTTATCACATTTATCTTACTGGCATATTCTTGGCTACGTTCATGTTCCTGGACAGAAGCAGCCTCTAAATGTCTTCTACACCAATATCTACACTGTAAATGCATCTTAATAAACTGTCCTTTGGCTTTCCACAGAGTGAAATTATCAGGTATCATGAATACTCCAGTAAGGAATATGAAGTTACAACAGAGGATGGATACATTCTTGGTGTTTTCAGAATTCCCGATGGAAGGAATAGCCAAAATGCAGGTATGACAGTTGTAGGACATAAGGAAGGTCTGAGAGACAACTCTTACATGGGTTCCCCATCTTTCCCCTCTGCACATGCAATGGCATGTTCCATACCTTTCCATCTCAGCAAAGGCACCCAGTCATTCAGCCTAGAACGTGGCCTAAATTCTGTACATGGGTTAAAAAACTCCTGCAAAACCAGATTCAGCACCCCAGTTTTAACTACACATTAGCTTCTACTACAGTCTAAGAAAACCTCTTCTGTTTTAGGGGAAAAGCCTGCACTTTTGCTACACTATGGTGTTCTAGCAGATTCTATTAACTGGATTTCTAACCTGCCCATCAACAGCCTAGGCTTCATTCTTGCAGACGCTGGCTATGATGTCTGGATGGGAAACAGCCGAGGAAACACCTGGTCTTTAAAACACAAGACCCTTAAGCCCTGCCAGAGTGAGTTCTGGCAGTTCAGGTACTTAATGGAAAAAGAATTACTGAAGAAAGCAACATTCAGGTAACTAGCAAGATTAGGTGGTTGCTATCAAAATGCAGAAACTTTCGCCCTCTGGTTCGATGAAAAAAATACCTTCTGAACTATATGAAAACACTACTGTTGTTCATATAATCTGACTTCCAAGTGGGACATGCAACATCTAAGAAGACTAGACCAACTCTTTTCCACAGATACAGCCAATTCTGGGTATGTCAGGGGGCTCATAAGAAGGACTACATGATCTGGATGGGCTCTTTTGGAATCAGTACATACAGAAGCAAAGCTGGAAGTACGTAGATCACCTCTGTCCATACACCATGCTGGTTCCTTTGGGAACAGGCTTCCAAAACTGGGAGGCATCTGTAGCCTTTAAGTCTCACACCATTACCATGTCCCAAGTGCAGAAAGGAGACTGATCAGCTCTGTTGAGAAATCTGATCTACCACAAATGATGGTAACTGGGAGAAAAATGATTCTTGTAACCCATGCTCGTGAAAGTATTGATTAAATTCAGTTCCCCAAGGGCTGCAGCTGTCAGGTAAAACTGGCATCTCCTCCACAGAGAGCCCAAGGCATCAGGCAGCCTGGCTGTACAGCTGCGTCCCTCTGCCCACTTCCCTAAATCAAGCAGACACAGCCTGCAACCTCATCCTTCAGTGGGTCCTGCTGGGTGCAAGGAACAAAACTGACATTCAGTAACTCACACTGAGATGGCTGAATTATCTGCAAGCTTTTTGTGTTTCTCCCTTTAGCTTTGATGAAATGGGTAAATATGATATCCCAGTAGAGCTGTACTTCATCATGAATAAAACTGGACAGAAGGATGTATATTATGTTGGTCACTCTGAAGGCACAACTGCAGGTAATGTTAGGATTGTCTGGGTACAAAACACAGGGTTTATGACCTATATATAAGATACGTGAGCAGACACTGGGATTTATTCCATGGTGTACCATTGTCCTTTTAAAAAAATAGAAACAGAGGGAAAAATGGGGGGAAGTGGCATATCGCTCCATTCTTAGAAAATTATTTTCCTTTCTTTCCATATGTGCATTCTAAGAGTCTTTTTGCAGAATGAATAATTCAGACCAAGTCACCACCTTCTTTGTCTTTAGATACTTATGTCAACTGGTCAAAATTCTAACACAATCCATCAGTGGAGAAATTTAGACATGTTCAGAAAGCAGGATGGGATGAACCCTTTTTGGTTTTCATTCCTTCCTTCCTTATACTCCTCCTTTATTTGTGCATTCACTCTCACACAAGTATGTGCTTAGTTACAAGAAAAATTTTGTTCCTAATCTTCAGATAATTATTGCATTGCTGCATGCCAGCATAAACATATACAGTCTTTTAGAGACTGCAAGCCAAGAAACTAATTATTTTATTAGAGTTTAGGGAACTTTAAAGAGAATTTGAATTTAAAAAATCTGATTAATGGGCCTTCTCCCCGAAAAATAGCCTTAACCCAAAACTGTCAGTTCTGAGAAAATTGATGTCTGGACATGCTCTAATGAGCTTATATCCTTAGAATTAACTCTGTCTTCCAAATAAGTTTCAAGCAAGAATCAAACATTCTCCTTAGGTCTGCAGGACAGCAATGAACAGCCAGTTGAATGCTAATCTAGTCTCCCTTCTTTGCTGCCTACCATTTTTTTATTTATTTGGTCTGTGGAGATCTCTTCATTAACTTGACTCTTCTGTGCTTGCAGGCTTCGTAGTATTTTCTACTTATCCTGAGTTGTCTCAGAAGATTAGAGCATTCTTTGCTTTGGGACCAGTAGCCACAATCACACATGCTACCAATCCTACGGTAGCGTTTACACGTCTTCCCCAGTCACTGATCAGGGTATATAATTTCTCTTTCTAGAAAACATAGTATTGTCTGCTTTGTCTCTACTGGACTCATTCAACCTGAACTTTTAAGGAGTGCTGAGTTAGAAGTGAATTCAGTGTATCAGGCTGCTGACAGTGCCTTGAGACTTCAGATTTCCCACAGAGCTAAGCTGCGAGGCTGGATGTGGTACCTCTTTTGCAGCATCTTTAAGGTAACAGGCATACTTTCATCATTATTTATTTATATCAAATGTTTCTGAAGGAAACTCACAAATACCAGAACAAAACTAATATAATTTACTAAATCTAGCCTTAAGCACTAACAAAAAACTGCAAATAAGATACTTCACATCTTAATTTTATTAGACATGCAGTCCATTTATGTTTGTGAAATATTTGTAAAGT